GGGGTGGGTGATTTCTGGTCATCAAGAAATTTTTTTTCGAGCAATCTGCTGGGCAGGATATTTTTTTTCCGTTCTAAGTGCTCTTTTTTTTCTGTTACATTTGGGGTGCACGCAATTTTTTTCTTCCAACAAGAGCTTACAGGAAATTTTTTCAAAATCACCCACCCCCTTCAAGAGTTAAATGGTCGGCTCCTAAGCCCTTGTCACTTGAGATAAAATGGTCTCGAACAGGTTAACAGAGAAGACGGTTTTTCTTGAATCTTAAGGTAAGAATACCTTAGTTTTTCTGTAGAGGAACTCTTAAATCTCATTCGTGTAGCAGTTTATTTTGTAGGCTGAATATTCAACCCAACCAGTTCGCCTTGCGTGTAAATATTTGATGTGGAGGAAGGAAAGCACAGAAAATTTTGCAACGAAAAATGTTGAAAACACTGCATGCTCACAATTGTTAGCACCCCGCGCAGATCATTTCGCATTAAGGATCGACTTTACATAAAAGTAGTTCAGATTATTTCATCGGCCAGCGCGACGCGAATATAACACGCGTGGTACTTTGTCGAATAATTTTGAGTTTTGCATTATCGAATTTCAAAGATCAATTGTCAAAGCATACTGTGCTACTATTTTGCGTAAAAATAGCTGTTTTGTGGTTTATTTATATAGCTTTTTGTTAACGAGATGAAAACACCTTAGCTGACATTAACGTCAGCAGGCAGGTAATGAGAATTTAAAACTTATCATCCAGAGGGTGTTATTTTGATACTGCGGCAAATTCTACTATGGCAGTCAAAAGGCAGAATAGTCCTTTTTACAGTTGTGGGCTTGTTGGCCAAGCCTTTGAACAGGAGTGAGACTAAGGGTGACCCTGTTGTGATAGAGACCTGTATCTACTTAGCATGATAACAAAGAAATTTGCATTTGAAAAGCAGCAACATGTCTATCGTAACAAGGTCACCCTTAGCCTCACTCCTGTTCAAAGGCTTGGCCACCAAGCCCACAACTGTAAAAGGGACTATTGTAATTGTTCATTGAGTGTCGCAAGAAAACCGTGACTGCTTTAGTTTAACTTTACTTCGCTTTATGATTGGTCTAGAAAACTCACGCTGCCCTCTTAACCAATCAGATGCAACACTGAAAACTATCGCGACTTTGTCCTTCGCATTTTCCCGCGCTTCAAGCAGTGTGCTTGTTTTCACTTTGAGTTCCCATTGGTTAATGATGACGTTATTGTTTGTACTGATTATAGTCGATGTGATAGTTTTAACACACTCGATTGAAAACTACTCTATACTACTGTACTTCTAAATTTTGGCTCGAATTACGCAGATATACCTTAACAACAACAGTAATATATTAGAAACATTTACATTCCTTTTTTGTGGGGAGGGGAGTTGCAAACCGTGAAACTGTAGTTCCGCTTTCGTTACGAGCCGGAGTTTGATCAGTTGTTGTTGTTATCTCATTTAAGGAAATATTATAGCTATTTTATTTGTTAACTAAAGGTCCCACGACTAATGTTAACTAACTGGTTATGGTTAAAAACCTTTTCTCTTGCCATACAATATTTAATAGTGTGATTTGTAATCTTTTTGTAACAATTGCTTAAGTTCGTAAACCTTATTTACCGTGTGTTTGGGGTTGAGTTTGGGTCAAAGACAGGTAAAGTGAACACTTGTAAACACAATTCATAGAAACGAAAAAATAAAAATAAAATTGTGTTATTTCGAATTACAATTTTCTTTGAAGAGTGCGGGTGGCGAGGCAACCACGGCTTTATACTAGTTTTTGTCACGCAACGCTTTACAATCTTTTTCTCTATGAACTATCTTCATTGTAAAGTTGGTGTAGAAGTACGAGAAATATGCGAAAACGAGACTGCCCCAGAACAACCTGAAGATCTCCGTAAGCGCTGCAGAAAAGGATCCTCTTTTTCTTCGCGTGACGTTTTTTTACAGTTATCTTGGTTGCGTGACGCGAACGCGATTTTTGCCGCTTCTGTCTTGTTCTCTGTAGCTCTTTTCCAGATCACTGCTGCGCGTGCAGTGTTTGTAAATGACTTAAGACTCATGTTACCATTGGGAGGCACGTCAACCTGGTTCTTACGACAGAGAAGAATTCTCTTATATTCTGCTCTGAAGGAACGATTCATGACGCCGTATATGAGAGGGTTCAAGGCCACGCTGAGATAGTTAAGGTAAGTGCATAACAGAGTCCGTCGTCTAGGGGGAGTGGTGTCAGGTGACGCACGGTCCATTGTGATAATTATTAAACTTGGAATCCAACAAATGGCAAATGCGAGCACAGTCATAAAAAGAAGCTTCGAAATTTTAATTTCTTCCACAGAGATACTCAAATTCCGCTGTTGGCGCACTAGAGACGAAACAACCAAAATATGATGTCTTCGTACTCTGTTGAACACAAGTGTGTAACTCACAACAATAACTATGAAAGCCACAACAACAAACACAAATTCCACCAACGTTTGCATAAATCTATGCGCAACTGCGCAAACTGCATAACTGGGTTCGTAACGGATGTAACTCGCTCTGCTCAGAAGCAAACTTGCGTAAAAGGTGATGATCAAAAACCACAGCGTCCAAATTAGAAGCAAAGAATTTCTTTTGGTGAAGAAGCGTTTGTAGATAACAGGTTTCACAACTCGAAAGAACCGGTTAATAGCCGTTAGCGCCAAAGTGCCTATTGACATGAAGGCCAGCGCGAGGATAGCAAATCCCTGAATATCACAAAGAACACTCGTGTCGATCCAGGCTTCTGAGAAAAGTATCCCGCAAGTTATAGGGATGCAGATTAATGCCATAAGAATATCCGCGATGGCTAACGCAAGTATAAACATGTTTGTTGAAGTGCGCAGCTTTGGGCTGCGAATCACTGCCAGAGATACCAACACGTTTCCGAAGAGAGCCAACCCATCAATCAGAGCACAAACTGAGACTTCGACAATAATTGTTCCAATACTGTGGTACGAATTTCGCGGCGAGGTGAATTCTTCTGACATTTCTATTACATTAATCACTTCATCTTTCGAGTATAAGTTGTTCTGATCCTAATGAGGCGTTAACATTCGCCGCTTAGTATTCGATAACAAGGGTTGAAGACTGTCTTTTTCTAACTTACGTAAACGCTTTTAGCCAATCAGCGCGCGACTTAATTTGTGTTTGGATCGTGATACTACTCTGATTATATTGATCATGGAAGTGCAGTAAGAAAATATATATGAAGGCTCAGTTTAATCCAATGCTTTTAAATCCGTCGCTTCCTTCACAAATTGCGGTTTTCCGCCCGAGTTAAAACACACCCACACAGATAAAAGAGATTCAAGTTGGTTTTATGTGGAAGCGCCGACTCCCATTCAACTGTAACATTTAAACGACATGCACAGCGGATCTGCATGTTTTCTCACAGCTTAGGGAAGGAATGTTGATGATTTCTATGACTGCATTTTATAGATAGTTCTTTATGCTACTTAGGATAAGGAAGATTGGTTACATTGTCCACTTGATATTCTTTCAAGCACGCACACATACACAAATGAATTAAACTATTTTCTTTGTATCTGTCCGGATTTTTCTAATCGTTCCGGTAAGAATTAAGCTGGTTTCCTTTGACCTTTCCGCTCTGTTTACGTCAAACGTGACACATCGCGAAAGCTTAGTGAGACAAGAATGCTTTAGCAAACAAACTTTACACTTCAAAATATTAAAGATTAGCGTAGACTAAAGAGGCTTTGGAGAATAATTGGGCTCGTTTTCAGTCAGGAAAATTCGGTAAAAAAACAAGATGGGAAGTTTGGCGGAAAATTTGCGATGCGACTCTTTTGTCATAGAAGGAAACAGAACAAAAAAGAAAAAAAAATGAAGAAAAAAATAAGACAATAAAAAATAAAAACACTCTATAAATATAGTTCGTTTCCTTAACAATACGTTCATAACGCGAGTGTCGCCACTTTCTGAAGTTTATCCGCGAAAACTGGCAAATTTCGCTGAGGCAATCATGACTTTCCGAACCACGGTCGAAAATAAGCAGGGTTATTGCAAGTCAACCAACTGCGTACAATGTAGTTGAAGTTTTCCTGCAGATAACCTCAAAATAGACAAATTCACTTCAAACCATAAATTAACCGGAAATCCTTTTATTCGTGCATTCGTAATTTTCCGATTATGGTCGGGAGAGTCGCGAAGACTGATCGTGAAGAATCGCTTTCTTTGTTCACTGGTGGGTCCTCGGTACCTCATCACAACCTGTATTGAAAACATTACAGAACTGACCATCAAGTGCCTGTTCCCTTGCTTAACCAGTGAAACCTTCTGAGATTGTTTTTGTTTTGAAAATAACGTGATTGCTTATAAAACAGCGTCAAGAAGTCAACTGGTACCATTTACTTTGCTTCGCTTGTCTTCAGAAAAACCATGGAGGCACCCGCTATAGTTTTCCAAGTGAATCGGGAAATATCTTCCGTCAGCGGGTTCTTGATGTTCATGAAGACTGTCAGAGAAAACACCAGCAACAAGCATGTTTGTTTGAAGTTGACAACAAATTGGTTTGAGAAAAGGAGCAAGCGTCAGGGGTGATAATAGGATATAACCACACATCAGCCAAGGACTTGGGTCAAAGATACCCCCGTTGTTTTGCCCAAGCAGTTTTGATAAAATATTCAAGGTCCTCTTGTCGTGAATCACAGTGAAACGACATTGTAACCTTCACGGGACGTTTGGCTGTTATCTGCTTGACGAAGCTGGTTCAATTTTTCTCATCTTCTGATAAGATTTTCATTTGGGAAAACTAGCACGATGCTTGGTACATTAGAGGCCGTCGGCGGTTCTATGATCAAGTTAAGTTAGCACAGCTGGCATTATTAAATTAACTGTCAAGGATTCAAACCTGCGGGAAAGTATTGACCTGTGATGGATGACAAAAAGTTTAAAACAGGTGAGTGAAATGGGGTGCGTAATTTTTTTGGTAAATGGTGAACACCAAGTGTCTAGAGGCGTTGAAAAATTTTTTAAAAAGCATCAACGGTTGTCAAAGGCGCACGGAATTCGAGAATTTTGATTGCTTCATCAAAGCAAACTATTCAAGAATCATGCATAGTTCAAAGATTGTTCATTACAAATTTTAAAGCCATGAGTAACCCGTTCAAAGAATTCACTGATCGCCATGGATGTGCGCGTCCTTTTACATGATGAATCGGGCTGCGTTTGCTTGAAATTTCTTAGACTGTTTTGATGCCGACCCAGAAAATCACGGAGTGCGATGAAGGTATGTTCAGGAAATGATCTGTAAATCATATCAGCAAACATTTGAATTTAATTATCTAGAATTTCTCAGAGGCAGTTTAAATTTTAATCAGTTGAACCCTTCTAACCAAATCTGGAAATTCATGTTATAAATTAAGTCTTCAAAACATTTGCATAAGGATTTGAGCCAGATAAAAGTAGTTTGTATACAAAACCAGACTGCTCATTCCAATCACACAATGTAATAAAAAAGTTACGCTGTAAAAAAAGTTGTCTTTGAGCAATCTTTGGCAAACATATTTTCCGCGAAGACATTATCCTATTCTTACAATTGCTGTATCGTATTTTATCGTTTTTTTCTTTCTCCGAGGTAGTTTGAGCCTCAACTATACTATTTCGCCATTGCGAAACGAATGCATTGCAATGAAACTTAAAAGCAACTCAAGCAAGCCATATAAAATAATTTCAAATGGTCGGTGGCCATCAAACAGTTTGGAATACGGACACTGAATCGACCGATAAGAATTTGCGTAAGAGGGTGTATCCCACTTTAAGCAACCCAGCAAGGCGCAAAAATCCAGCGAACCATTCAACGAGCGGCCATCATGGGTTGGCGGCATCTTTAACCTGATTGGTTAACACGCATAATGTGCGCGTTGCGGATAAAGAAAACGAAGGCTTGAACTATTAACGCTTTACATGCAAAAATGCGCAGAAATCTTTAATCAGCAGTACATTTTTTAAATTTCCTTTGAAAGGGGTCATTAACTCTTTCTCCTGAAGGGAGTGAACGCTTGGCGGAAAGTTATGTTCGTGGTTAGAGCCCTTTCACATTCTATCTTTTTGGAACAATTTTGGTCAACTCATTCATTGTCATACTATCGGGGAGCATGGGGGAAGATGGTTCGTAAATTTTTCTAACTTTTCTTTTAGTCAGCCCATCACACAGGGACAAAATCTATCAGATTGTTTGAAGATGGTTTTCATAATTTTCTAACTTCTTTGTTTCTTTCCATAGGAGAACCCTGGTGTTGCTGTCGTCAGAGTTGCACAGTATTTCTCTTCATCACAACTTTGTTATATGTCTACTATTTTTCTTGTTATATGAAACATGAACTGCGAACTCCTTTCCACCCTCCTTATCCCCAGTCCGCACACTTGCGCTGTCGAGGCGCGTTCAAAACATTGACTAGAGGAAACTGGGAACGAAGAAACGTTAGCGATGACGTCATACGAAACAGACGGAGATTTGATATGATGTTAAGAGAGCGCAAAGGATGGCCTGAACGTTTGTCTCACGGCGATCTCCGCTGTGGACCGTTGTTCCCTCTCCCGCGTAAGACAAGAAAGGCAGACAGACCCTACGTCTTTGATGTACAAGCACAGTGCGACACCGACAGCCAGTTTTATTGTTGCCATGGAAACACAGGATGGTGTGGTCATGGTGACAAATTCTGCGCCTGTTCAAGCTGCATAAATTATAGATCTTTCATCTCCGCTGAGCTTGCACAGTGGAGGCCACTTAATGGCTGCCAAGTAAGGAACTTCACGCAATCTTCTGCTTGTGAGTCATTGTCACATGGAGTTAGTAGCGTGACTTTCGTTGGTGATTCCCTTGTGCGGCATTTTTTCTCGGCTATGGTCATACTATTGACAAATGACCCGCTATATGGTGCATTAAAATTCAAAACACCACCTAGAATGCGTGACATTTGTAAAGGTGACAGCCAGTTTGTTGACAGCATCTGTCACGTTCACACGGCCATGACATGGCGTGACATTATGGACAACCCAAACTTCTGTAACGGCTGGGCAAGGTTTAAGATATCATATGTGAAAGCATACAAAGTTGAGCTGGCACAGTTAGCCCTACTTGCAATCAGAAAACTCTTGAACAAAGTTGGTTCCATTGTTCTCATGGGAATTGGTATTCACAACAACTTTAATGCATCAGCAGTTATTCAATCCTACCTTGAACCTGCAGTACAATTGGTTTCGACATCCAGAAATGGCTGGCCACACCTTATATGGTTATCAACTCATTCTATGGGTCCTTTAAAGCCAATAAACTATCATCACGACCAGGGAAATCCAGCCATTTTGTCTTTCAATGAAAATCTTTTAAAATACTGCAATCACCACAATATCACTATGTTTGATAGCTTTAATATGACAATGGGTGTTCACAGTTTTGATGGAACTCACTTTGGAGTTGGTGTAAACACTATGAAAGTACAAATACTCTTAAACTATTTGGAGGAATACTTTTCAAGATGACAAGGCTCTGGCAAGAGAGCATTGGAACTTATTATCAAGAGTTAGACACTTACATACATACATACGTACATACATACGTTTATTTGATAAAGCAGGTTATGTTACATAATATGCCAGCCAAGGGCTGATGTGGACCTGCATCCAAAAATTATAAAAGTCCATATGCACATATATTATAACAATATTGGTAATAAAAGATAGTCAAGAGAAAAGAAAAATAAGTTAAGATTATATAAAATGTAGAGGATAAAATCAAGTTAAAAATATACATAGTCCTCATGTTTGTTAACTAGCAGGGTTAGAAATTAAGTGAACCACTTAAACTTACCCCCCCCCCCCCGACATTTAATCAGGCTTCTCTGACACTTCACCAGTGCCCATTTATACTCACGGGTGGAGAGTGACACTGAGAGAGTAAAGTGTTTTGCCTAAGAACACAACAAAATAAACTGACCAGGTCAGGTCTCAGACCTGAACCTCACGACTGGGAGACTGGGGCTTCAACCCACCTCTCCCCATATTGTAAAAGGGATTGTGAAATATGCTCATTGTGTTATCCCTCTTATATTAACTGAATTTCATAACCAAATAGTTGTTGCTTGTCAATCCATCTTTCACTCCCCTTGTATTATAGCACCAAATTGGTGTGAAATCTCTAGAAAAGTAGAAACAGCTCCAAGACCTTGAGTTCTTGTACAGTTAGAGTTCAATTTGCTTTACATAAATTATGATTTCCTGACTGATTTTTGCCAAGCTACATCATAACATTGCAAGTATTTGATCCACTGCTACAGAGAAATCTTTACAAACTGCAAAGGGAGGCTTCTCAAGGTGACATTCATCTCCCTCTCGGTATTTACCTGAAACAGCAATGAAAAAAATAATTGTTTAAAATCATTTTTAGAGACAGTGTTTAAAAAAGGTTTCATTTTTTGCATACCTGTTTGAACAAGAAATCCTTTGATCCCTATGGATTCTGCTCCACTTATGTCATCCCTTGCATCCTGTTAATCAAGAGGTAATGTGCGATTAAGAGACAACACAATGCACTAACCTAATCAGAGCTTAATTCTGGAACACTTGATCAAAGAGTTCTTTGTGCTAGCACTTTGACCACTGCATATTTTGAATTGGATATGGGAAATGAAACAGGTCTATTTTCAGATTTTACTCCAGAAGGTGATGAAATAAGAATACTTTTAAATTCCTTTTAAAAAAACAGAGTATGAGGTGCCAACTTACGTTAGGCTAACCATAGGGAGCCCACACAAGTGGTGTGTCTGGCCGTTTGTTTGAAATATAAAGAAATGTATGGGAGAATATTGAAGAGTCATAATATCGCAAACTTATATCAAGGAATGTCTATGTTAAGGCTCAAAATAAATGTAAACCTACCTCACTTGCTGTGTATTGTCATTTCTGTGGTTCTAAATGGCGAATTTGAGCGATTTGGTGGGTTTTGCGTTGAGCATTATTTTACATTATAACAAGGGTCTCCTTCTTATAAGGTAAAGTAACAGTCAACCCAAAACCCACCAACTCACTCAAATTCGCTATTTAGAACCACAGAAATGATAATACACAGCAAATGAGGTAGGTTTATATTTATTTTGAGCCTTAACATAGACATTCCTTGATATAATTTTATGATATTACAACTCTTCAATATTCTCCCATAATTATATTTCTTTATATTTGGAACAAACGGCCAGATACGCCGCTTGTGTGGGCTCCCTGTGGGCTAACAGCTTTGTCTAACAAGTTAGGTAACTTACATCACCAATCATGACTGCAGATTGCACATCACAGCCAATTTCACACAGTGCCTGTTTGAAAAAAGAAGCTTGAGGTTTGCCACAAACTTCAGCTTTGATATCTGTTGCGAATTCAAGAGCAGTAACAAAGGGGCCTGGACCTAGTGCCAGTCCATCTCCTCTTTTGTAGTATCGTACTTTGTGAATTGCAATTAGAGGGCAACCTTCCAGCAAAAGCCTGGAAAAAAAGTATGTTGAAGCAGCTTGATAGTGAAATTATACTAGTTCACTCTCCAAGACTATTCAGTAGAGAAGGGGGGGAAGCCTTTATCAGCATTCTACTGCCATCTCAGTGCACATCAGTCCCTTCTATTACAACAATAAAATCCAAAACAACTTTGTTCTGTCGCTGAATCTACCTAATCATTCTAAGCAACATATGGCAATCTGCGGTCTTTCCTTACATTTAGGTAACTTGGAAAGCCGCAAAACTCACGAACAAAAGTTCATCTTCCAAATTGGCACTCTTAATCCCACAGGTATCAACGAACGCTTTTCATTCTAATAGTTTATGTGTTTTTCTCGTTGCCATGCCCCCACTTTCTGCAAAGGGCCCACTCGAAACGTCAGCTTTTTAACTCTTTTACAGTGGCCAATTTACAATTTCAACTTAGTTGATATACCAAATAACTTTGTTCTTGACCTTCACTTCTTCCCCCAGCACCCCTTCATAAGCCACCCTCAGGCTATTGATCACTCATGAGCAATCACCTGTTTATGATTCTGGCCTAATTATTATTTAAAAGAAAACTGCACAAGATGCTTGTTTCTAAAATAGGGTAATTTACTAGTGAATAAAGGCTGAAAGTTTCGAAAGAAACTGTTTGGGGCTGCGTCGGTGGGAATAACAAAATAATAAATGGATATATATCAACAAAGTTGAAATGGTAAATTGGCCACCGTAATGATTACAAAAGCTGACGTTTTGAGCAGATTGCCATATGTTGTTTAGAACATGTGGTCTTTCCTTGCACTTAGGTGGCACGGAAAGCCGTAAAAATCTTGAACCAAAGCTCATCTTTCAAACCGGCAGTCTAAATCCCACAGGGATCAACGAAACGCTTTTCATTCCACTAATTTATTCATGTTTTTCTCGTTGCCATGTTCCCACTAATAACGTAGCTCCATTTTCTGCCTTTAAAAGCACACACAACCCACAATTCCTCTATTTGCTCCGACGAAGGGCTAACACTCGAAATGTCAGCTTTTGTAATCATTACGGTGACCAATTTACCATTTCAACTTTGTTGATATATCCAAATAATTTACTAGTGCATCAATGAGCCCATTAAATTTTTGTAAATTTGAAAAAACCTTTAAAAAAATTATTTATACACATAAGTAACTCAAACAAGTACAACCTTAAAATAATTTTCCAACAGTAGGGCCATCTTTCATGAGCATATTCCAGTGGGCCTAAGCAAGGAGGCTTGATAACTGGCTGGGGGGGGGGGTAAGATGGGACACGAGAACAACGGGTGGGGAGAGAGGGGTGCACACTGCCGTTTAACTAGTTACGAACCAATCTGTACCTGAATGCTTTGTTTAAGGTTTCATAATTAAAACAATCAGGGGCAAGTCCTACTACTACTGCATTTGGATTGTTTACGTCAACGCCTTTAAAGTCTTCAATGGCGTCCGATTGCAACAACAACATTGGACGCAGGCTTCTTTGCTCAATTACACGACGAGCAGCTGTGAGTGAAGTAAAAACTTCTTCGTCTTTTATATCAAATCCTATGCCAGTCAGACGTCTCAGTAGGGTAGATTTTGATTCTTTTGTAGTGTTGGTGACGAATCGAACAGTAACGCCAGATTCTCGAAGTCTACGAAAAATACATAAACAAACTGTAAAAACATACGGCGCGCAATCATAAACAAAATTCGCAGTGATCGTAAAAATATGACTTGTGAATAACCTCAGTGAGTATCAGTTCTACCATACCTTTTGAGAGCTTGTATAGAACCAGGAATTACTGAATTTTCAACGTGAATTGTGCCGCTAAGATCGATAAGAACTCCACGAATTTTTGCCGCCATTTTGAATTTGGAAAAATATTTGCTGGTTTCCAGTGTTCCATCAACTCACCCACCAACTCGACCTTTCGCTTCATTCCAATATTCCAAACGGACCGGATGCAAGTGAAAGTGGAATAAAATTTCCTACTTTTGAAAGTCTTCATTCCCCGAACTTTTATTGAGAAAGACTGATCAGATTTATAGAAAGTTGATTGTATTTTTTCTGTAGAGGTTTACAGAAGTGAATTTATAAAATAGAAAAGAGTATAATGAAAGGACTCTTACCCAAGTACACGACATACTTTCTCCTTACAAAATCAGAACAATATTAAGCAGATTAGTAATGAGAATAAAGAGAATTATCATTAATTTTGATCCAATACTAATTTCTTAGAATAAAGTTATAAGCGATATATGGCAGACAGTATAGAGATCGAATTACAAAATAGATCTTGGAAGGGAAAGGTTCAAAGCTATAAGTTCAGATCTTTCAGTCTTTTAGTACTTACTAAGAGTAAATAGGAAATTCAAACAGAATACAAAACCATGGCTTTAAAAAACAACTTTATTGTGTACATTTGAAACTCGCATAATTTAAAACAAATTACATTGCAAACTGGTATTTCACAAGTGCTTTTAAAACTATACAAGATAGCTACAAGAAAATTTTATTTAAAATAGTTTTAGTGAAGATATAAGCTTAGAAACAGCAGACTGATAAGTTAAAAATTTTCTGAACATTTTGTGTATGTGCATTATAAATTAGTGGGTAAAGAGGACCACTCAAAATTTATTGCCTGGTGGGATGGGGCCAGAGGATTTTTGGGGGGATCACTTGGTTTTCCAGAGGAGATGGTGGGGGGACCAGTTGCACTAACAGATTATCAAGGGGGGGCTGTAAAAAAATGAATGCAAATGAAGGGGTATCATTAGATTACTACATATCCCTAAGGGGGAAATCAAAATTCCCCCCCTTCCTCCCTCCAAAAGATTAATAATGACCAGTCCCTAATGTTATACAACATATTTTCTTGAAAATAAAATTGATAAATTCTTTACAAAAAATATTTTAACTGACTCTTTAAGACTCAGTTTAAAGAAGGGGAACCTTAGAATAAATCTTGCAAAGCATTTGTATGAAATAAAATTATGATTGTTTAAGAAAAATTTTTAAATGATTTCTACAACAAAAGTGCTAACGTCTTTCAATTCAAATTTGCTATCTTAAATTTAGTTCTTAGACAATGTTGGTATGCCTTCCTGAAGAATTGAAGAGAGCAATGTTTTGTCCTGTAATGCATAGTCAACCTCTTTTTCATCAATTTTTAGGGTCACCTAAAAGTAATAATAATAAATACAATTAACTAAATTACTCAGAGTTTTGCCTATTCAACTTCTGATAGACTATGAATAATTCTTACAAAGCCTATGGGCACACATCAAGAGTTTTAACATGACCTATGATAAAGCCCAAAATTAATAGGAGATTAAAGTGAATTTTACAGAAAGGAGAGGTAAAGTGATAGATGGGAATCTTACCCAAGAAAACAACACAATGACTCTGGCCAGGTTTGAACTCGTACTGCTTTACCGCTCGTACTGCTTTACTGCTCGTACTGCTTTACCGCTCGTACTGCTTTACCGCTCATACTGCTTTACCGCTCGTACTTACCGCTTTCTGTTCCTAAGCTGCTTGAGTTAAAGGGATCCTACAGTAGAAGCTTAAAATGTTTTTGTTTTAATAACTTTCCAACTCACCTTAATCATTCTGGTATCTTTAGCTCTTTTCATTCCAACAAGTCCCCTAGTCTCAAGAATGTTACACAGCCCAAGGAAATCTTCCTGACCAAGATGGGAGACTTTTCTCTTGGAGCAGATTTTACAGTAAGTGTCGTGAAACTAAGAAGTAACGAAATTGAACAAATTAATCCTCTTAAGTTTCTATTTTCTCTATGGTCAGCTGAAGATGCAAATGATCCCTTGCCAAGTAAATAAAAATTTTGTGTTTGAAAATTCAACACTTGATGCAGACATAGGAATGAAGATTTCAAAAATGATTTTGACAATTTTTTTTTTGAGCAGCCATTCAAATATGGATTATTTGACAATTAATCCTTGACTTGATTTAACAGAACAAATTATTACCATTAGGTAATTCTCTTTTCTGTCTGCCATACAGTTCTTATGATGTGTCTGTGGAGAATTTGGTATTGGATCAAGTAATACAAGTAATTCCCTACCTGATATTTTCCTTAACCCTTCAAACCCTAATATCAGTATGCATATTCTCCATACTGTTCTCTATACATTTCCTAAGGTGCTGACAAGGAGAATTTGTTTAACAATCAAGACCTTTTTCTAGTTGGTGATCATTTCCTTTATTCTCCTAACCTTAATATTTGATTAAAGGATGATATTGTAAGGAGAAATTAGATGCTAGTCACTCTTAGGTGTTGAAGTATTAATTCTCATAACTTATCTGCATGATATTATACTGATTTAGTATGGAGAAATTTGGTCTTGGTCACTCAAGAGATTTAAAGGGTTAACCAGAATGAAATCCAAACTAGAGGTGTTTCCTTACCTTGCCTAAAACAACTTCTTTAGTGCTGCGTTCTTTTGTCATCAACAAAAATGTGCAGATAAGAAGCTTCTGTTGCATTGGTATTGTTGGCTGTTCACCTCCAGGGCCTGAGACCAGACGGGATCCATAAACTTCTGCGACAACACTAGCAATCTGAGAAATTCCAACCTTTTTAGGCTTTGATGGAGTTTCAATCCTTTTTGAGGGAGATTCAGCTGATGAAACAATATTACAGAAGAATTTGAGATATCATGATTAGTAATAATCATTTAACTGCTAACAAGATTATTAACTGATTAGAGGCATTACTCACAGTCATCAAAAACCAATGGGTGATGATCATAACATTATATAAAGGTACCTTTTCCAACTGGTTGTAAAATCTGTTGTTTCCTTTCTCCAGATTCTACCACTTCAACCGCTCGCCTGAAAAATTAGTTCAGAGTTTTTATTTTGGCATGATCACAAGAGATTTCAGGCATTTAGGGCTACATAAATTGAGATCAAGCAAACAGAGAAGGCTGTATTTAGTGTATGCCAGCCAGGGTCCCACAAGTGTCTGGTTATTAATGGTAATAAGAGCAAGTGGATTTCACTTCTGTCAGTCATCATATGAGTATGCTTACACTCTCCTGTTAGGGCTTCAATCTGGTTGCTAGTTTTGATCAATACAGGTTTGTTGTATTTCTTTTTAACCCTTTAGTGAGTGAGCGACCAAGACAGAATTTCTCCTTACAATATCAATACAATATAAAGCAGGCAAGTGAGGGGAGTAAAGAAAAATACAATAAGGGGATTATTAGTTGATCCAGTATCAAATTCTCTCAACCAACATCATAAGAATTGTATGGCAGACAGTAAGGAGAATATAGTCATGATATCTTGGGGGTGAAAGGGTTGGAAGGAATTTGTAATTCTCATTACCTGCAGATATCTAAGGCTTTTCTCATGTCACCAGCCATGGCAGACACCTTTCTAGCACAAAACTGCAGAGCTGAAGAATCAAGAATGCTATTTCCATCATCCACCTGAAAACAGAAACCAATCACCATCAGAGGTAAGTTATGATAACTATTTGTTTACCTTCCACCCAAAAAATCCTTATGTTTGAGATTGGAAACCTCCTTGCAACAGCAATAACTAACCATTGTCAATCTGTCCTTTATGATGAGTACAATCTGTTCCTTTGTGTAGGGTGCAAAGTGGAGAAGCTCTGGTTTACCTTGAGATTAAAACAAAGCAATAAGGTTTTGTTAAATTTTATGGCAAATTTGAAAGGTAATAGAGTACTCTTGATATTTCTGGGTCATTATCTTGCAAAACTTCATTTGTTTACCCTTTAAACCCAAAGATGCAGTTTGTAACTCTGTCTATTATGTGCCATAAATTTCTTTGTAAATTACCTGAGAGGGGTGGGTGTCGAGTCATGATAAATGTTACTGATGATGAACAAGTCTTTTTCTCATCACCCGCTTTCTGGATAATGTATTGATAAGGTAAAATCCATTGTAGGGTTGAAAGGCTTCAGCACTTACTTTTTCACTTATTTATAAACAATCTTGTGCTGGGCTATAATTTATTGATGAATTTGTTTTATCTGATTAACATACATGTATCGAAATCCAAAGTGGCATACTTAACTTACATTTAGGCCTGGCTTGTAGGCGTGGAAGAATCCTGTCAGTCAAATCCAGGGCATTTGCAATCCCTACAGAGAAAAAAAAGCCAGACGTGTAATTATTGTCTCTCATTAATGCTGGAGAGAGTACTTGGAAGAGAATGGTAAGAGACGAGATGGCCAACTGATTCAAGTGCTGGACTCAGGGTTGAGAGGTCCCCATTTGAGACCAGGGTAACTGGGACTTGGTTGAGTCAGTGTGTGGTTCTTGGGCGCCCCTCTCCACCAGGAGTATATCTGAGTGCTGGTGAATTGTCAGGGAAGCTTGATGAAATGCAACGTCAGGATGGGCCACTTGACTCAAGTGTAGACTTTTCTTTTTAAGGGAGGGAGGTTACTATCTTTATTTCTACTTCATGTACCTGTTAACTCTTCACAACCTAACATCAGTATGTATGTTCTCAACAAGGAGAATTTGTTTCACAATCAGAGCTTTTTTAGTTGTTGATCATTTCCCTTATTCTCATGACCTTAGATAGATAGATAGATGGATGAATGGATGGATAAATGGATGGATAAATGGATGGATAAATGGATGGATGAATGGATGGATAGATGGGTGGATGAATGGATGGATAGATAGATAGATAAAGGCTGATAGTTTCTAATGAAAGTGTTTGGGGCTGCGTCGGTGGGGGTAACTAAATAATTTGAATATATCAACAAAGTTGAAATGGTAAATTGGCCACTGTTACAATTATAAAAGCTGACATTTTGAGCATTAGCCCTTTATCGGAGCGAATGATGAAGGGCTAACGCTCCGACGAAGGGCTAATGCTCGAAACGTCAGCTTTTATAATCGTAACGGTGGTTAATTTACCATTTCAACTTTGTTGATATATTCAAATTATTTAGATAGATAGATAGTTTATTTGTAAAAAGCTTGCAGCCACTAAGCTGAATTGTATATTTACAATATAGTGTAAAATATAATATAATATAGTAAAATAATATATAAAGTAATATCTTGTAATAATGATAGTATTAAAGTCCTAAGGCTAAATCAATAATTTCCTATAAATATAATGAAAGCCTTAACTGATAAAATATATACAACGTCATCGATCTCATTTACAAAACTCACCGAGCACTAAAATTCTTTTTTAATACATGAACTTACTAAGAAACTATTTTTGAAATGCTCAGTCTTACATCTGGGAATCGCAAAATGCCTTTTGCACCGGAGATTAAAACACGACAGCCCTGACAATTGAAGCATTAATGTTTGATTCGAGAGGGGGGGGGGGGGTAATTTGAGGAGAAATTTAGATGCCAGTCACTCTTGGCGGTTAGGTTAAAGTTGTTAATAACTGCACTCACCAATAAGAATTAGTTTTGATTTTGGCAGAGATGGCCATTCAAACATAGTGTAAAGAATTTCCTGATGTTTTGATTCCAGTTGATCCATTTCATCTAAGATAAGGATTCTAGAAAAAAATTAATAAAGATCATTCAACAGAACAGTCTTGTTAAAAACAGTTGACAAACTCACCCTTATGGAAATTCAACTTCATCCTTCAATGTCTAAGATTGGTAGGAAAATGTTTCCCCTCTAGCTACTTTACATGTCCTTGTTAATTAGAAAATTTGGTGTTAAATAATGATAGCATTGACCAGCTGATCAGTTCGTACATTCTCAGAATTTTCCAGCTAAACCTCTATGGCCTTTGCCATAATTTTTGTTCAGAAGTGGAGAATATTATTCCATTATTATACACCATTCTAATACTCCAACAGTATGTTCCTTAAGAAAAACCAACTATGGGTATCATGATTTAGTGACAGTCGGAATAGTTTAGTTACCTTGTTGCAGCTGATGAAGAAAATTCCTCTTCAAGGAATTTTTGTGAAGTTTTTGCTGGACACTGGTCTTCTCCAACTAATTCAACTGCTATCTTCTTGAAAATGTCTTGAGGTTGTTTTAGTGCCATGCAGTTAACAAAAATAACTTGACATTTTCTGATATCATCCTAAAGAATCAACAACTTATGGTAAGTTTCATGTATCCCCTTCATGAGTCATTAGAAACAAGGCTTTGTCTAAAAAGGATCGATCCTTATCAGAATAGACAATATTCCCCCTGGATTTGGGAGAGGTCCTGTGTAAGTAATGTCATGCTATTTTTGCCGAGAACCAGGCCTTCAAATCCTTAATGAAGGGGGTAAGTTTTCAAAGAAATGTGTTGCTGCATTAGTGGGGGTGGGGGTATAAGCCCTTCATCAAAGCAATCACCTCAGCTTTAGGAACTCTTACAGTGACCAATTTACATTTATTTATCAACTCAGTTGATTAAACCAAATTATAATCAAATTCTTATACAGTCTTACCAGAGAGATACAAGAGATGGGATGGCTTCAAGCTAGCCTGCAAAGCAAGCCCTGGGGGAAAGGAGGGGGATTGGGGCGAGCGGAATGTGCCACACATTCCGCTCACCCCAACCCCCTCTCCCCCAAGGCTTGTTTTGCAGGCTAGCCTCAAGCTTATAACTAGTGCACTGTATTCTGGGTCGAGAGATCTCCTCCAGGAAACTATAAAATTCTCCTTACTTTCATTTCAAACATAATCTTTGTCAAACAAGCCGTCTTTCCTGTGCCAGGAGCACCTGATATGTACAGACTTCCTGGTTTTCCCCTAAGCAGATGATTCTGTAGAAACTTTCTTATTTCTGTGATCTCTTTCTCTCGACACAGCAAGTTATTAGGATGCGAAGAATGCAGAGCTCTTCTTACTTTGGAATATTGCTGACCTGGAGAAACATCCATGGAATGTGAGCTTTTGATCATCGACAGAATACTGTTTATAATGTTATGACAATTATCAATTATAATTCACATTAATTATTGTAGTGTGGCCCACACTCAGGTTCTGATAAGAATATCGTTTCTGCCACTCCATAAGATGTTAGTTCATCAGAATTCACACCCCCCCCCCAAACAATTTTCAAGTTTCATTGACAATTTCTTGATGCCCATTAATACTTCTGGGGGGAAGGTACTGCAAGATTGAATTTTCTTGCCAAAGAACACAACACAGTGATTTTAAAAGAGTTCAGGGCTCAATCCTGTATCTTTTGATCCAGAATCCAGTACTTTAACCCTTTTACTCCCGAGATCTCCATAGTAATTCTCCTTACTGTCTGCCATACAACATCTTATGATGTTGGTTTAGAAAATTTGGTATTTGATCAATTCACAATTCTCTTGTTGATATTTTTCACTATTCACAACACTTGTCTGCCTGATTTTGTAAGAAAAAACTGTTTTGGTTGCTTGTGGCAGTTAAAGGGTTGATTATAAGGGAACCATTTATATCTCCCTCATGATGTTTCTGGTTATTACTGTTATTACTTACCATCTTGGCGAGCAAGAGAGAGTGTTTTCCTTGGTTCTGACCCCACTTTAAGACCAGCATTTGCACTCTTACATCTTGCTTGGTTTCTTGGTGTTGTCTTTAGTGATTCAAGCCCTTAATTTTGACAAAAAAATGGTTTCTAGTCCAACTGCCTAAAAAATGATACCTTTTGGAGGGATGGTCACAAATACTCAAGATTTTGTCAAGTAGAAAAGAGCAAAAAGGCATTCATTATGTATTATATCTTTACTGATTCAGTGAGAATTTCTTTCATGTCATAGTAGTTATATCTGAGACTGTAAACAAAATTGGGTATGGTTACAAATACTAGTGTTATAAGAAAGGCAAAGATAATTTTGAGAATACCTGGGACACACAAATAAATATACCCCCTCCACCCCCACTATAATTTGGTGTTGAGATCAGCATGTTTTTTACAAATCATTACCTGCAAATGAAAGCTTCTGCTTTGGATCAGAGTTCTCTTCATCGCTGGAAACAACCTCTGTAACCTTTCCATTGTTGTTCTTTCTCTTCTTCGGGGATACGGAAACCAGGGTTTGACAAGCTAAAAGAAAATTCAAGCAAGTTTTATTTCTTGGGGGCCGACCATTGAACTTTTTAGGGGGGTGGTGGATGATTTCTGGTCATCAAGAAATTTTTTTTTAGCAATCTGCTGTGCAGGATATTTTTTTCCGTTCTAAATGCCCTTTTTCTTCTGTTATATTTGGGTTGCATGCAAGTTTTTTCTTCCAACAAGCACTTGCAGGAAATTGTCTTTCAAAATCACCCACCCCCCCCTCAAGGCTAAACTTCAGAATACCCGGCCACTTATTTACATGTCATTGAATAAGAATAGCATCTATTGTGTTATGCCTCATTCTTCAAAGCCTCCCGACACATGTAAATGATGTGGACGGGTATTCTGAAATTTAATACGATGAACAGAGTACTATCTAATTCCAAAAAGCATTTTTAACAGTTTACGTGGAAAGGAGATCGAAAGCGAATAGAGACGAAAGATAATTGCAAAATTGCTACAACCAGCGCTGCTGATGGTTTTGCCAGTTGCGCAGCGTAATGATGCTAACATGCAAATAAACCGCAAACTGTAAAACCGATTACGGTCTTTGAACCGAACTTGCAGATCGACGGAAAATCAAGCTTGAGGAATGAGATTTAAAACACAACGTTTAGATCTAAAGTATAAATCAGAATAAAGAGGCTTTAGAGTGCTCAAATTTTCAAGTATCTGAAATTTTTCTGCCGACTTTCGACCTTGCATATGCGCGGGAACGTAGGGCAGAATGTGCAGATTTCATATTTTATACACCGTTGTCAGTTTTGTTGAAGTGAAATTTAAGGACCGTTCTATCTCTAACAAGGATCTTTACATTGGCTATCAAAAGAAGTTAAATAAAGAAGCAAAAGATAACATTCTGAGCTTACCCTTTGTGGGATCGCGTCGTTTTCTCGGTGAGATCGAACATTCTCTAGTGTGTTTGCTTCGACTTGCCGCGATCGTTCCTTCGTTCTTCTTCTGTTGTGATCGAGTCTTCTGACAACGAAATTCGATTTGTTTCTGAGCACTACGAGTAATTCGAGGCATCTTTGTAGGAATATGGTGGAAAGGAAGCTAAAACTCTCGACGATCGATATCGAAGGGATCAAGCGACAATCTGCAGCTTCGCTTACAAAATGAAATCTAGTATCATGGTACGGTGAATTTTCGCGCGAAAACTTTTTAGCCAATCACAAAGCACATTAGGATTTTGGCGCCGTAGATAAATACTTTATGGCCAGCGTGTAACTTTAGAAAAGCAGCTGAGCGGCGCCATTTTGTCTCCTAAACAAATTGAGAAGGTGAAGAGAAAGGGAAGGCTTCTAATTGCAACCTAACGTCTGTGGAGACGCAGTAAGCGCCCATAGATATAAACAATGGCGGAGGAGATCGAAAGGCTGAACGCCAAGATTAAAGAGCTTGAGATCGCGCTGGAAAATGAGCGTAAAAGGAAGGGACCCGTAAGAGAAAAAATTCAAGAGATGAGCTCTGAAGTCGTGGACAGCAATCCATACAGGTCAGTTAGTTAACGTTTTGCTAAATGTTTTGTCGATCGTGTGAGAATGAGTTTTCGAAGCCAAATGAAGCATTTTAAGGAGCAACCCACTGTTTTTATTAGCTTTTAATACTGCGGTATTGTTCGTTTTTAAATTTAATGTTATTTAAAATCATAGAATCCCCGGCGATCTTGATTCCACGAAAAGATCAGAGATTGAAACATCACGAAAAACGGTGATCACTAAGAGTTGCTTCCTTCTTCTTGTAAAAGACAGAGCGTGTTAAACAATTCAGTTGTCTGCCGAATTTTTTCCCAGTGGTAGCTTGAAAACAAATAATATTTAACATCCAGTTGAAGGTTATTAGCGTTGTTCAACAATGTTACAAAAAATTCAAACATTTTATGTACACACAGATATGAAACTTCGATTACATATTTCCACGATTCTACGATCGGGTTTGATTCAACGAGAACACCAGGAAATCTTGAATCTGGTGGATTTTCTATTTTTGTTATGCTTTATTGTCTTTCTGTGGCGGGATTCTCTAGACCTACACCGGTTTTGATGAAATATAAATACAAATGCTACGGGAATCGGTTATAGTGAAAATTGTAGCATGTTTGGGTAAACTGTGAGGCAACTGTTGTTATTTCTAATTTTCCTCTTCGTTCATTGTCTTTAATTATCATTGCTGCCACTGTCTACTCGTAGTAATTGACATTGGAAAAAATGCGCTCAGAGGATTGGGAAAAATCAGGAAATTGTACCGCAACAAAATTGAAATTTTGGAGGAAAGTGAAGAAAAAATGAACTTCTGGAATTATTTTGAATCGTTTTTAAGGTGTTTTTCAGAAGTTAGTTAATAGATTAAAATTTAATTAGCCACTGAACTTTAAGATGTAAATATATCATTGACACCCAATTATATTCCTAGAACTCCTTTTCAAAATTTTCCCAGCTGGGATGTAAAATAAATTTCTCAACCATTTATGAATTAAAAATACATGGTTTCTTCAAAGTTAAATGGGAAACCAAATAGTGATGTAAATAATTATGTTAGTGTGTGTGTGTGTGTGTTATTTTTTTTAACAGTCGTTTGATGGCCTTGAAAAGAATGGGAATAGTGGATAATTATGAGGTAAGTTTCTGTAAGAAACAGCCAATCATTGTCTTAGTTAGTAAGGCAACTCTTGATTTAACCCTTAAAATCCCAAGATGATCTGATTGTGAATTCTCCCCTTTAGGTACTACACATCTCATATTAATTCAGTTACAAGAATTTCATGTTAGATCAAGATAAATTCTGTATGTGATAAATTTGAGTATTCCCATTACCTGCTTGCTGGATGATGTATAGATATCATTGGGAGAAGTTACATGTTAATTATGCGCTTGGGGGAATTAAAGTATATACCTATTTATCTTATTTACTAACGATTTACCATCTTCTGTGAATTCTGGTGAAATATTTATGTACGCAGATGATACAACTGTTTATTGTGTGGGTGACAACGGGGATCATGCAGCTTATCAACTAAATAGGGCATTATCTAAATTATATGATTGGTGTCTTGCCAATAGGCTTACACCTCATCCGAAAAAGAGTGAAGCTGTGCTGATATCTAAGACACATATCATAGGCCCTATTTTACCTGTTACTATGGGAGTCTTTTATGTTAATTGGGTTAAGAGATCATGTTTATTAGGAGTAACTGTGGATGAAAGTTTAACATGGTCACCACATTTGATGAATGTTAAAAAGAGTTTTGCAAATAAGCTTAACTTATAAAGAAAATCAAGATTCTTACCCAAAAGTGTATTGGAGCAATTTTATTTCAGTGTTATTCTGCCTGGTGTCACTTATAGTATTATAACGTGGGCAAGCTGTTGTAATCTTGAGTTATTTGGGGCAATTGAAAAACTTCACAGCCGAGCAGCAAAGTAAAAATATATAATTTAAAGAAAGACACCTCCCATGATTACTCTCTGAAGATAGCTAAATGGCACTCCTTAGATTATATTTATAAGATCAAACTGTTTAAGGTAGTACATGGTACATACAATGATTTGCTACCAGAGCAACTGTCCGAAAATATTATTGTTAAGAGGTCGAGTGGTGTGAAGTATTCATTAAGGGGGTCAGATAATATTGTTATACCAAGATTTCAATCTCGCTATTTAGAATGTTTAGTAACTTATAGAGGGGCTGTTCTTTTTTTAATAAAATTACGTCTAGGAATGCAGACATTAATCATGCTACACGAAAGAGCATAGATTCAAGATTATGTAAGATCGTTGAATTTAAAGATTTTCATTTTAAGATAACATCTACCTCAACAGTTAATTTTTGCGATCAAGACTATATTTATTTAATGATATCTTATGCAGATTATATCACATATATTGTACAAGTTTTTATAATTATTAATTAGTAATCTTACTTCTATTTTGTATGGAAGTTAGTAATAGATATTAGTTTTAGGACTACTTTAAATGCACGACCCCATAAGCACAAAGCTTTAAACACTTATCGTGTTGAAATAAAGTTGATGTTATGTTATGTTATGTTAGGGAAGTAATACTTTTAGTTGCATCTTTTTGTTAACACCAGCTGACTTAGCCTTTTTATTATCCAACTACACCTAGATGAGTACAAATAACGCCATAGATGAGTACAAATATCACGCGGTATTTGTACTCGTCTATTGTAGTACCAGTTAAACTGGTTTTCTCGCATCGTGCAAGCGAAGAATTGGATTGTAGTTACGAAAAAAAAAAACAAATGGCAGACAATTTGAATCATATTTCCGATGACAAAGAGTCAGAATGGCTGGCAAATATAGATCCAAGTTCATTGAATGAATCTAATGAAGAAAAACAGCGTGACTACCAGAAAATTTCTTCATTTAATGAAGAAAATAGAAACAGTAGCGCAACAACGCACCAATTCCCTACCCCTTCGCATACTTCTGTCACGCACTCCCCGTAAATAAACATCCGCAAAATTCGCCCGCACTGAAATAACAGTTTGGCYTGTTGGGTAATAAATAACTTATTAGACGTTTTGTTGTGTAGTATCGCTGAGTATTTTTACTCATTATTTGTATTTTGACTCGCCCTATGGGCTCGTCAAAATACGGCACAACTCGTAAAATACTCAGTGATACTACACAACAAAATGTCTAATAAGATATATTTATTTTTGTCTACTCTAGAAAATCCGTGACTACACTGTTGTAATTGTCGGTGTTGGTGGAGTTGGAAGTGTGACAGCTGAAATGCTGACAAGATGTGGGGTAGGAAAGGTATGAATTGAAACAATCTGCTGTATACTTTATATTTTTGTGGACGAACCTTTAGTCTTGCGATTAACACCTTCACACCTGTGAACATGAGTACTACGATCTGAGAGATCTTATATCATACAACCCAGCCAGATAATTGTGTCCATGGGTGAAGAATTTCTGTACAGCGAATTTAAATTTATTTTGTTATGGTACAAGCTGTACACCCAGAGAATTAATCAATTTGAATAACTGTGTTTCTTCTTTGTAGCTTTTACTTTTTGATTATGACAAAGTGGAACTTGCAAACATGAACAGGTAAAGAGTTATGACTGAGTTGGTTTGTAGATTCTTCTCTTGAAATGCTCATCAATCTATCTCTGTCTCTTCATCAGACAATCCATCTGTACATGTATGTATGTATGTCTTTCTTTTCCTCATTTGTCTATCCGATATCCTGTTTGTCTCCTTATTTTGATCAGACAATCTATCTGTACATGTATGTATGTCTTTCTTTTCCTCATTTGTCTATCCAATATCCTGTTTGTCTCCCTTTTTTCATCAGACAATCCATTTGTACATGTATGTATGCATGTCTTTCTTTTCCTCATTTGTCTATCCAATATCCTGTTTGTCTCCCTTTTTTCATCAGACAATCCATTTGTACATGTATGTATGCATGTCTTTCTTTTCCTCATTTGTCTATCCAATATCCTGTTTGTCTCCCTTTTTTCATCAGACAATCCATTTGTACATGTATGTATGCATGTCTTTCTTTTCCTCATTTGTCTATCCAATATCCTGTTTGTCTCCCTATTTTGATCAGACAATCCATCTGTACATGTATGTATGTCTTTCTTTTCCTCATTTGTCTATCCAATATCCTGTTTGTCTCCCTATTTTGATCAGACAATCCATCTGTACATGTATGTATGTATGTCTTTCTTTTCCTCATTTGTCTATCCAATATCCTGTTTGTCTCCCTATTTTCATCTGTCTAGCCATCTGCACTTTGCACAGTCATCATTTTTGTCATCATTATCAACAATTAACAACAACAATTTAATTTGACGCACAGATGAAAATCAAGCAAAGAATTGATCCTTGAGGGTTTTCTGCAATTTATTAAGCACTTGCCAGAAAAGAAGCCTGATTAACCTTATAAACCCTAAGGGTGACCAGCAGCGAATTTCTTCATATATTAAATACATCTTAATCTTTCATTGAGGTCATGAAAGTAAATGATATGAATGCCAACCTAAGAAGTTTTGATTGTTAAATGGATTCTCCTTGTCAGTGCCATGAAGTCCCCCCCCCCCAGCCTCCCAAACACTTGAAGGGTGATACTAAGAACTGAATTATGAAGCTGTAGATTGGGAGAAAGGCAAATCTTATAGAGGTAATTTGGTCATATCAATTAAGTTGAAATTGTAAATTGGCCACCATAAAGAGTTAAAAGCTTTTTACTCTTTATGGTGGCCAATTTACAATTTCAACTTAGTTGATATAACCAAATTACCTGGTTACCCCCATCGATGCAGCACCACAGTTTCTTTAGAAACTTTCACTCTTTATTCAAATCTTATAGAGGATTCACCTTTCCTGTAGGAATCTGAACACAGTTTTGTCTTACTAATGAAATATTAAATTCTTCTTTTCTACAATTACTTACATTCCAGCTGTCCACTTCTCATGATCATTTCTTTGCCTGACTTTCTACCTTGTTATCTTTTTTTCCATGCAAGTTCTTTTACTTTATTTCGTAGTTAATTTCATACTTCCTTCTCTATCCTGACTTTTTTAGGCTGTTTTGCCTTCAAATTCCATCTATTGATGCATGTTTCCATTTACTGTTTATTTCAGGTTATTTTTCCGTCCTGATCAGTCTGGTATGAGTAAAGTTGAAGCAGCGGTAAACACATTGAGGTAATTAAACAGCAATGTAACTACCATGATTGTTATGGTGAACGTTACAAACACTCACATCAGGAATTTGTGTCATAGATTAATTTAATTTTTGCTCTTCTGTGTGCTCTTTAAATATTGTTCACAACATTATATTAACAGGGATTTTTTTTGTAGAGACATTAATCCCGATGTGGAATTTGAAGCATACAACTACAACATCACGTTACTGGAAAATTTTAAGCACTTTCTTTGTAGAATAAGGTGAGAGTCATGGATGCTTGTTCAAGGGTGTGGCTTATTTAATTTTAAAGTACAGTGGTAAGTTTAATTTGTAACAGAGCAATAGAAATAAGAACACGAAAAAGCAATAAAAGCAGAACTGATTTTAAATATTCCTTTTTTTGATGACCCAAGTTGACTGTGTAGAACATTGATAAACTGAATCATTTAGCTAATTTATTTATTTATTTATCTTCTTGTAGTCATGGTGGAAAAGATGGACAAGCTGTAAATCTCGTGCTAAGTTGTGTGGATAATTTTGAAGCTAGAATGGCAATAAATACAGTAAGATTAATAAATGTAATTTGTACACGTTAAATTTACAGTCTGGGTCGACATTCAGTCAGGGAGGTGGGGTAGTGTCTGCACTATATCTTTCATTTCATGCATAGTTTGTTAAGAAATTATTCTTTTTACTGTATCAACAGTTTTAAGGTATGCTGGAGCATTTATTTAATTCCAGCTATTTTCAGATGTGTCTACTTGCAGTTTGCAAGAGCAGATCTGAAGTGTTTTTGAAAGGGAATGACACAACATGTCAAGAAACTTGAGGAATAAACCAGAATATGTTTGGCCTTGGTAATTTAAATCACAGATGACAAATCTGTTAGTCAGAAGAATTTCAGTGTAGAACATAGGCTCCAAGAATATTCTCCCTGAAAATGTATCTTAGCCGGGAGTGTTCTTTATTGATTGTATTATTGGTGGGTATTTTGTACCATTTGCAAAATAATGTTTTCAAAACAGGATTATCTTTCATTTTATCAGGCATGTAATGAGTTAAACCAACCTTGGATAGAATCTGGTGTCAGTGAAAATGCTGTGTCTGGTCACATTCAATTTATTATTCCTGGAAAAACAGCTTGTTTTGCAGTGAGTCTATTCCCCATATATACAATAATGTATTTTAGTGGAATTTCAGAGCTGAGCAAAGAGTTTCCAGCAATCTGATTGGTTGAGCCGTTTCTTCTATGACGCTATATAAACTGCTCTACATGGTTTATATAAAATGTTAAAATAAAATGTTAATAAATGTTACTAAAATGTAAGTTATGATTTTAGAAATTTCTCTGTTGTTCAGCTCTGAAATTATACTAAACCAATTATTCACCTCAGGTTCAGTGAATATTGTCAAATAATTATTTGACGATATTCACCTCGCCTTCTGCAAATAATTGTTAAATATTAAAAATTATTTTCATTGACATTTTCCTCTACATAATTTCCAGCAGCCCTCTTCTTGTCACTGGAATACTAGTAAGTAATATGAGCTGCTGCCCCCCCTCCCCCCAAGAGTGGTTTGTTGTTGACCCCTTCAGTGCTGTTTTCTTTTGTAGAAAGGAAAATGGAATGCACAAGAATACATGATCCCTTAAATACGGTTGCAGAAGTTCATGTAATCCCTTATTTTCGGTTCACACAAAAAGATTGACTCCTTTCCCGTTTGCACCCACCCACCTGCCTCCCCCCCACAATAAATGACATGTTCCTAGAGTGAAATATCAAGCTAACCCTGTTTTCATGGTTGTTACTGTAATTTATGGATCCTGGCCCTTTTCCCCTGCAATTCTTGGCCTTCGTACTTTGTGCATGGGTGGTAAATTAATTGAAGGAAAATTAATTAAAATTGAAGGAAAATTAATTAAATTGAAGGAAAATTAATTAAAATTGAAGGGAAATTAATTAAAATTTACACAGTCAAGCAATTACTCTCTCAATTCCCAGCTATAAATATTGTTGAGAAGTGAGACGAAATCCGGGGGTTGAGCCAGCCATCAGAGGGAAGTTGAAATACTCTTACTAGTGATGAGCTTTAGGGACAAGCCTCTGAGCTTGGTTTTTCTTCCCACAGTGTGCCCCTCCCCTTGTTGTTGCCTCTAATATTGACGAAAGAACACTCAAGAGAGAGGGTGTTTGTGCGGCATCTCTTCCAACAACTATGGGAATAGTAGCTGGTTTTCTGGTTCAAAATACAATGAAGTAAGTGTTTTGTACTCTACTTAGCAGTTAGATTATGAGCTTGAAATTTCTTCAGCATGTTTGTCAGACTTGAATCAACTATCATGCATAGAAACCAAGAGTGAATAATTGCTTAGCGTTGCCCGCTTTGATCCCGCGCAAGAAAAAAAGTGCGTAGAGCGGACTTACAAAGTTCATAACTTTTGGACAATGTCGGCGGCGAAGTGGCAAAAAGCGGCAGAAGATAGTCAAAACAAAGAAAACATTAAACGAGCCTCTTAGATACGCTGTGCTACAAACACAGTTGGTCATATTTCAAACACAGTTGGTTTTCTTTCCCGGCTCTCGAAATTAACGAGTCTTTCTCGATTCTTATCAAAGTGAATTCTTTTTGCTATATAATAAATTCTTTTATGACCAAGTGTGAGGTCAAGATGACTAGATATTAGCCTCGTTCTCTCTTTTTTTGCATTTTTTTATGGACCTCGACTTCGTCTCGGTTCATAAAACCGCAAAAAAAGGACTCGGCCAAAATCTAGCCAATAACGCATATTGCTTCAGTATAAGTCTACTAGTAATTTAAGATTTAATAACAAGAAAGGCTCAACTTTATATTTTGTTTTGTTTACAACCAAACAGCGCCAGGCCACTCACTTTGCTCATTTACTCATACAGTTGTCTTTGAAAAATTTGTTTGTGCTTATTTACACCAGATTGCACTCGACATCATGTTATTACCTATACTTATGTGTGACTTTATATCCAATGATATTACTGTCGTGCTCTTACTCCTCCAGATATCTGCTTGAATTTGGTTCTGTCTCCTACTATCTTGGCTATAATGCCATGCAAGACTTCTTTCCAAGCATGACGCTAAAACCAAATCCTGCCTGTGAGGAAGTTGTTTGTCACCAAAGACAAAGAGAGTACCAGGTAATGATTTTTTTTTATGTATGAAAAATCTATCTTAATCAACCTCAACCTTAACGTGCCAGTATTCTTCAACAAACCCCCCGGGGTAACCTCAAGGCAGTACTCTTCAGCAAACCCCCTGCGCAGCCCCCAAGCAGTATTCTTCAACAACCCCCCTCCCCCCCTGTGCTGCTTCCAGGCAGTATTTCTCAACCCCCGGACAGTATTCTTAAACAAACCCCCCCCCTCAGGCAACTCTCACAGGCCTTTGAACTTCATAGGATTGGTTCGTTCAAATTCACGCCCCCCCGGACCCAAATTGTGTTCAAATGCCCCACCCAACTGTCGGATTTGATCGTCCATTTTTTCGGGGAAAGGTAAGATTAGCGACTGTGACTTTCTTGTAGACCTTTCCTTCTTCGCAATCTGCGCGGGAAAGTGAACATTTTCCCTTAAAAAATCTGCATATTATAGGATAAAACACGGTTATTCCGCTCAAAAGACTTTACAAATCCGTTTCGAATTTCCCACCCCACCCAGGCAAGGTTCAATTCTCCCACCCCCGGCTCGGAAAACACTCAAGTACCCGTGAGTTGCCGAGGGAGGGGATGTTGAAGTTTCGAATTTGATCGGTGCATTACTGAATTAGCTTTTGTTATGACGGGCAAGATTTTATGATAGTTGTTTTCTGGAATCATTCAGTTTTACTGTTAGAGTTATTGTTATTGCCTTGTGGGTTTGTCTCCATCAACTGTTACTATACCTCTACTATTCCTTTTGGGTGGATGGTGGGGGGTGGGGGTGGGGTCAGTAATTGAAAGTGTTACAATAAGCTTACCCTGTGCCAACTATAAAGCGCAAAACTGATGTATACCAACTACCGCACCCGTGTTACTACACGCACTATAAGCAAGTGTAATTCCCAAGCAAGGCACGTGCTTGACATGTGCGGGGGTACTGCAGAACATATAATCCTCTGTCTTGAATTTTTTTAGGAATCAGACGAAGCTAAAAAAGAAGAGGAAGAAAAAGAAACAGCAATGAAAGCAGAAAGAGAAGAAGTAATACACGAAGATAATGAGTGGGGTAACTGTTTGATTTGCGTATTTTTTATTCAGTATAGGCTATTAGTATTCAAACTTGGTGAATAAAATCTTCTACTCGGTGTTTTAACGTTGCGATTCATGAATTGCGTAAAATTTGATTCTGGGAAAAGTTATTTGCCATGGGATTCCCATACAAAACCTGTAATTTCTGACCGCTTTGCCTACCCGTCAAGATGGGTTCTAAAACTGTCAAGGGCTATTATCATTCAACTATATTTTCTGCTGAACTGATTAAGAAAGCAACTTTTGTTTTAATAACACGTTTTAAGATTATTATCCTGTGATATATGCGATAGATTTGGAGCATACGTAATTTACTGTACTCACTCGTTTTGCGTAGAACCGGTTTGTCGGCGATAGCGTAATAATGGCCCCACTTGCATCAGTACTGTCGGGTTGATCAAGGCTGAGAAATCTTCGTGTTGTGTTATACACTTTATATTCTCTATAGAACCATCAAACACTAATTTACCGATGGCATTTATTACTTCATGACAGCAACGAAACTCCATTGCGTCCTCCAAAGCTTCGCCATGACAGTGTTGACATTTGCACCTATAAACATCGAGAATCGCTTAGAGATCATTGTAATATACTCCATAAAAACTATGACATAAGGTTCTTACCATTCGTTAACGTTAATCTGGCCTTCAAATCGAGCCTCTAAAGTAGATGGTCGAAGGCCATCGACGTCTGTTTCTTCGTCTCCGTCTTCTAGATCTTGATCGCTATCGCTGGCTAGCGGTTCGTCTTGATATGGCTCCTCTACCATATTTTCTTCTTCGGAATTGCCTAATTCTGCACGAGATGATGAGCTTGAAGATTCTGAGTGGTCGGATTCATTACAGGATTCGTCTGAATCACTAAAACTCTGGAGGTTTTCTCTGGACATGTTCGATTCGTTTTAGTATTCTTAGGATAGGTACACCATATGACATCACGCATAAATTAACTTACAAATATTCATTACCAGGCTCCGGTAAGATAATGGCCGAAACTAGCGCAGTTTTGAAGCGAAAAAAGTATATTAAATTTCTTTACAGAACAAATCTAAATATTTCAGGCGTGAACCAAAGACTATAAACTAAGAAAATTCATCGAAAAAAAAAAAACTTGTCATATGCACTTTAATGGCCTGATCTTAATCACACTGGAATTAGGACTTAGGATAATGAGGTCTGGGTTGGACATCTGACTGGACCCATGTGCACTGTGATGTTGCAGTGTCCATCACCTCCCAGGATTCTTGAAAGAGACACTACAGGGAAATAAGGAGTATATGAACGACAAGAGAGAGGGAGGGAGGGGAGGGGAGGGTTTATTCCTAACGTAGCATCTGTCTTAGATCATCACCTTCTAATGTTCAGGATTGATTTAAATATTGGTTCCGATTTGTTAGCAGATTTCACAGGAGATCAGCAGTGAAGGTCAAATATCAGCTGACGATGAATTAAGTGTTGAAGACCTGATGAAGAAACTCAAGAGCATATAGGGCTAGAATCAAACAAAAGCTTTTTAAAGATTAACTTAGATTATGTCCGCATAATATATTAATAATATCTTATGTAGTTAATGTATGTTTGGTTCTTACAGAATGAACGATAGCAAAACTAAGTTCAATTTGAATTTGTTCATTTTTCTTTAGATGCCTTTTCCAATTTCAGTATGAAAGTGTAAGGAAAAAAATCTGTTGAATTTTTGAATTTTCACCCATCTTCCGTTTTCAGTGTGGTGCTGAACTCCCCATTGTGTATACTCATTACAGCAATATTCAGCTATGTCCTTACTGTGACATACTTTTCTGACATGTATTGCGTGATACACGTTAAGAGAAAGGTAGTGCAATATGCATCGTAAGACGCAATTTGAGACGTGTAGCTTTTTCTGCTGCCTGGGTATACTAAGATTACTAGAACAAATGCTGCATCTCATTCTTAAGAATTAAATTTAGTTTTTATGCCATGCATTGCGTCACTTGAACTGGTTTGGGAAATGTTCTGTCACGTTCCTCCTGTGTGACGTAGGTTTGTCCAAGAACTATCAATCAATGACCTCGATACTTAGAGTCAAAATTTATTCTAAAAGTTTAATGCTGGAGGACGTGGGCAAACCCATCAAGGAAAGTGGATAGAAATGAAGAAAGCAAGGAAGGCTTTAAAAGCCATTCTTTAATATTCAGCGTTATTATTTGTAACAAATAAACTATTTAATGTTCTCCATGATCAGTTTTCCTATATACCCTTGTCTCTATCTAAGATGTAAAGATACTTCTGTGTAATAAAAGAAAAAGTTTTAAAAATCTGCCAATATTTTCTCTTATCAATAAAGATTTAGAAATGCAAAGACTAGCAAAAACTAACGATAAAAATCGACGTTTCGGTGTCATCATGACGCCATTGTCAAGGAGAAATAAAAAATAAAGTTTGGCAAGGTGTAACACTAAATTAGCATAAATATGTTTAACGAGCTAATTAAACAAATACTTTTGCGCGAATTGAATCGCTTTGCACATTCAGAGTGGGTTTTAAGTCTCTGATGAAAAGCATTTCGTTCACCAAACAATCGAACTTGTTACTACACTTTTTCAGAACGCTAAAACGCTTCAGTAGGTCTTTCGGGACTTCGCTGTGCCGTTCGTGGTAGTGTTTATATATTGAAGATGCCTTTCCTTTATGTCCATCCACGCGTGTGTGTAAGTGTCCGCGTGTATAGCCCACATAACCCGCATCACACAGGTCACATTGAAATTGGTAAACGAAGCGTTGTTGGTTGACAATCTGTGGCTTGATTTCTCGTACTATCCTTTGATTTCTCTCTATCCTTTTATAAATTCTGTCGCCCACTCTTGAATTCTATATTCACCAATGTTCAAATTTTCCCAGAACTGTGTATTTTAGTTTTCTATTAGTTTCAAAATTTTATTGTTTAATATCAGAGAGGGTTTTCTCGGCCCACAGAGGAGCTAGTGGCTTTCACACTTGCACACAATACACATCAAATCATGCCGTTTTAACGAGCTAAAAATTGTCCAGGAATTCCCCTTTATCCAGTTGAAAGCTCGTTTTAGCTAGTGGTTTTTGCAGACTAACCAAAAGCTCATTAACGAATTTCTATTGTTTTAATATTCAAAGAGGATTTTCTCGGCCCACAATAGAGCTGTAGCTTTCACAGTTGCACACAATACACAGCTAATCGCGCTCTTTCTAACGAGCAATAAATTGTCCCGAACCTCCTTTATATGCGTCTATAATTCTACGAATCCTCTCTGAATACCAAAACAATAGCATTTTGCTGAGATAGAAAGCCATGAACAAAATTCTACTGTTTTAATGTTCAGAAAAGAGTTTCTCGTCCGCACAAAAAAGCAGAAGCTTTGACACTTGCAGACAATATGCAGCTAATCATGCTCTTTCCAACGGGCTATAAATTGTCCAGGAGTTCCCTTTTTTCGAATTGAAAATTCGTTTTAGCAAGTGGTTTTTGCAGACTAACCAAAAGCTGATTAACGAATTTCTATTGTTTTAATATTCAAGGAGGATTTTCTCGGCCCACAATAGAGCTGTAGCTTTGAAACTTTCACACAATACAGAGCTAATCACGCTCTTTCCAACGAGTTATAAATTGTCCCGGACGTCCTTTATATGCGTCTATAATTTTTCGAATCCTCTCTGAATAGCAAAACAATAGCATTTTCCTGGGATATAAGGCCATGAACAAAATTGTACTATTTTAATATTCAGAGAGGAGTTTCTCGGCCCACAAAAGAGCTGTAGCTTTGACACTTGCACACAATACACAGCTAATCACGCTCTTTCCAATGAGCTATAAATCGTCCGGGAGTTCTCTTTTCTCGAGTTGAAAGTTCGTTTTAGCTGGTGGTTTTTGCACACTAACCAAACGCTCATTAACGAATTCCTATTGTTTTAATATTCAGAGAGGATTTTCTCGGCCCACAATAGAGCTGTAGCTTTGAAACTTTCACAGAATACAGAGCTAATCTCGCTCTTTCTACCGAGTAATAAGTTGTCTCGGACGTCTTTTATGTGCGTCTATAATTCCACGAATCCTCTCTGAATAGCAAAACAATAGCATTTCCCTGGGATATAAGGCCATGAACAAAATTGTACTATTTTAATATTCAGAGAGGAGTTTCTCGGCCCACAAAAAAGCTGTAGCTTTGATACTTGCACACAATACACAGCTGATCACGCTCTTTCCAACGAGCTATAAATTGTCCAGGAGTCCCCTTTTTTCGAAAGCTCATTAACGAATTTCTATTGTTTTAATATTCAGAGAGGATTTTCTCAGCCCACAATAGAGCTGTAGCTTTGACAGTTACACACAATACAGAGCTAAACACGCTCTTTCCAACAAGCTATTAATTGTCCAGGACTTTCTATATATACGTCTATAATTCTTCGAATCCTCTCTGAATAGAAAAACAAAAGCATTTTGCTGCTGGTTCTACCAGATAAACCAAAGGCTCATTAACGAATTTCTATTTCTTTAATATTCAGAGAAGATTTTATCGGCCCACAATAGAGCTATAGCTTTGACACTTGCACGCTGTTTGGGGCTGAGAGAATTTTCTCCGAATATTAAAACAGTAGAACTTTGCTCGTGCCTTTATATCTCTGCGAAAAAGGGGAATTCCTGGAATGTTTATGGCTCGCTAGAAAATGCGTTATTAGCTGCGTATGGTGTGCAAGTGTCAAAGCTACAGCTCCATTGCGGGCTGAAAAATTCCTTTCTCTGTTAGAATCAGCAGCAGAATGCTATTGTTTTGCCATTCAGAGAGGATTCGTAGACATATAGACGCATATAAAGGAATTCCTGGACAATTTATGGCTCGTTAGAAAAAGTACGATTAGCTACAGCTATATTGTGGGCCGTGAAAATCCTCTCTGAATATTAAAACAACAGAAATTCGTTGATGAGCTTTTGGTTAGTCTGGAAAAACCACTAACTATAACGAACTTTCAACTCGAAAAAGGGGAACTTCTGGACAGTTTAAAACTCTTTGGAAAGAGCGTGATTAGCTGTGTATTGTGTGCAAGTGTCAAAGCTACTGCTCTGTTGTGGGCCGAGAAAATCCCGTCTGAATATTAAAACAACAGAAATTCGTTGCTGAGCTTCTGGTTAGTCTGGAAAAACCACTAACTAAAACGAACTTTCAACTCGAAAAAGGAGAACTTCTGGACAGTTTAAAACTCGTTGGAAAGAGTGTGATTAGCTGTGTATTGTGTCCAAGTGTCAAAGCTACAGCTCTGTTGTGGGCCGAGAAACTCCTCTCTGAATATTAAAATAGTAGAATTTTTTTCATGGCCTTCTATCTCAGTAAAATGCTATTGTTTTGCTATTCAGAGAGGATTCGTAGAATTATAGACGCATATAAAGGAATTCCTGGACAATTTATAGCTCTTTGGAAAGAGCGTGATTAGCTGTGAATTGTGTGCAAGGGTTAAAGCTACAGCTCTATTGTGGGCCGAGAAAATCCTCTCTGAATATTAAAACAATAGAAATTGGTTTATGAGCTTTCGGTTAGTCTGGGAAAACCACTAGCTAAAACAAACTCTCAAGTCTAAAAAAGAGAACTCCTGGAAAATTTAGAGCTCGTTGGAAAGAGTGTGATTAGCTGTGTATTGTGTGCAAGTGTCAAAGCTACTGCTCTGTTGTGGGCCGAGAAACTCCTCTCTGAATATTAAAACAGTAGAATTTTGTTTATGGCTGTATATCCCAGCAAAATGCTATTGTTTTTCTTTTCTGAGAGAGTTTGTAGAATTATAGACGCATATAAAGAAAGTCCTGGACAATTTGTAGCTCGTTGGAAAGAGCGTGATTAACTCTGTATTGTGTGAAAGTGTCAAAGCTACAGCTCTATTGTGGATCGAGAAAATCCTCTCTGAATGTTAAAACAACAGAAATTCGTTAATGAGCCTTTGGTTAGTCTGCAAAAACCACTCGCTAAAACGAACTTTCAACTCGAAAAAGGGGAACTCCTGGAAAAATAAGAACTC